CAGCAGGAAAGAACCCACGGAGAATCAGGAACCCACACAGAATGGGCATTGAGAGAGCGGAAACACCACAGGGGTCCCCGCCCCAGACCAGGCATCCGGGCACCCAGGCCATGGGCTCTCCATCCCCACCCTCCCTGGGGAGTCAGGTCCCCTTCACCTGGAAAGGAGCCAAGCCACGCTGAGGAAATGAAACTTTATTTCCATAAATACAGGGGTAACACCCATTCAAAGGTAGTTAAAAGAGGGGCTGGGGCCTCAAGAAACTAGGCTCCCAGGGGTACCCCAACACTGATCACAGGGACTGGGGGATCCCCAAACCTGAGATGGGCCTCACAGGCCACAGATATTCCCCAACATTGACACTTCAAAAACGGAACCGTCCCCATAGGGGAGCCTCAGAACCCCATTCTCATGGGGACTCCCTTTAAGGGGTGGGGAGCTGACGACAGGGGAGTCCAGAGGCAAAAGGAACATGGAGAGAAGAGAAGCTAAAATGTCCTGAGAGGCCTGGAAGGAGACCCCTGTGGCGGGCAGGGGCTGGGTTCTCCTCCTGTCCAGCCAGATAGAGCAGCAGCAGCAGGAGTAGCCACACGTTGGAAACCCGCCCCTCGCTTCCCCTCAGCCTCAGGGCCACAAGGCCACGAGGTCGGGGAGACCAGGATCTGTCATTCACGGAGGCGCAGCAGGGGTTCTGGGAGCCCTGGCTGGCGGGGGACAGTGTGGGAACAACGAGGTGGTCACAGGCACACCAGAGCCTGACATCCGCTTCCAAGGCCACCACTTGGTCTCTGGACTGGGGAGTTCCTGGGGATCCTCGAGGACATCCTCAGGAGAGCCACGGTTCAATGCAGGTCTCGTAAAGGGTGCGGTTGGAGTGCCAGGCCGTGTGGTAGATCCCAGCCATCGGGCACCTCACGATCGCCCCGCGGGCCAGGAGGGTTTTCAACCCAAAAGAATCCCGCAGATAAACCTGGGCGGTGGGGGGAAGGGTCACAGGCACGGAAGACATAAGGAGAGACAAACGAGTTAGTGCTGGTGTCCCGGGCCCCCTTCCCACAGGGTAAACCCTTCAACTCAAGGGAGGGCTCCGGAGTGGGGCGATGACCCCAGGGGGCTCACCAGTTGCTCCTCCATCTCCAGGACTGTCTCGTTGGCATCGTAGAAACCGAAGAAGCTACAAAGAGATTTGGGGAGGACGTTACTGGGAGAGCTGGACATCAGATGGACTAGGTCCTTCGGGAATCACCGCCCAGTGGGGACATGGGCAGCAGGGAGGAGGCCCAAAATATTTAACTGAACATCATGTGCCCTGTGAGATGAGGCACTCAGCATTCATCGCGTCTGGTGAACGCCCATCAAAAATGCATCACCTGGAACCAGCAGTTGGCGTAATGGTTACGTCGCTGGACTGCCACGTAGTGGAGTGCACTTCAAGTCCCAGACCCAGTGGCATAAATTCATGCTGGCACATGCGTGTGCGTGCCCAAAATCCCAAGAGGAGAATGGAGGAGAAGGGATTGTGGCATGGCCATCCCCCCTGGGGGGATTTCTCCCTTTCTTTCTCTGTCCCTCTGACAAGTGCACAAGCCCTATAGCAAATCTCTTAAAAAAAAAAAAAAAAAAGCATAACCTGACTTGAATCAGGAGAAAATATCCACCAAATCCAAACTAAGGAGCATTCTACAAAAGTAGCTAGCTCATGGGACCAACAGCTAACGTAGTTGCTATGTCACTGGACTCCCATGTAGTCGACCGAGGTTGGAGTCCCGGACACAGTGGCTTAAAACTCACGCCAGGCATGTGTGCATGCGTGCCCAAGATCCCAAGAGGAGGATGGAGGAGAAGGGATTGTGGTGTGGCCATCCCCCCTGGTGGGTGATTTTTTTGCTTTCTGTCCGTCTCTGTCTTTCTGGTGGGTGCACACGCCCTATAGAAAGAACCTCTCCAAAAATTTAAAAATAGCTAGCTCAAATGCTTCAAAAACATCAATATCACAAAGGCTGAGGAACTATTCCAGGTTAAAGGAAACGAGACATGACAACTAAATGCCACACAGCCACCTGAACTGGGCCTTGCACTAGACGAACGCAGCACTGTATCAATGTTAATTACTTATTCTGATAACTGCCTTATAGATATTAAAAAAAGATCGTCCTGTTCACTGACACACTGAAGCATGTAAGGGTGCAGAGACATCATGCCTGCAAACTGCTCCCAAAGGATTCATACAGTAAAAAGTATATTTAAATGTCTAAATGGGCCAGGGGCCAGCAAGTGGCATGGAGTTTAAGGTGCTGGATCCCACATGGCTAATTGCGTGGTTCGAGTCCCAGACCCCAGCTTGAAAAATCATACTGTGTGGGAACCAGCAGTTAGCGTAATGGCTATATCGCTGGTCTCCCACGTAGTCGACCGCGGTTCATGTCCTGGACCTGGTGGCTTAAAACTCACGCCGGGCACGTGTGCGTGTGTGCCCAAGATCCTGAGAGGAGAATGGAGAAGGGATTGCAGCATGACCATCCCCTCTGGGGGGTGATTTCTCGCTTTCTGTCTCTATGTCTCTGTCTGTCTGGCGTGCGCATGCGCCCTATAGCCAAAACCTCTTCAAAAAAAAAAAAAAACACAACTGGTGTGTGTGTGTGTGCACGCCCCAAATCCTGAGAGACTAGCTAGATCCCAAATGGTTCAAATCCTGGCCCTGGCAGCTTGAGAAATATACCAGGCATGTGCACATATGTGCCCCAAATCTCAGCAGGGTGGAAAAAGAAAGGAAGGGATTGTAGCATGACCATACCCCACTGCGGGGTTCTTTTTCCCCTCTGCCTCTCTCTGTCTATCTCTCTGGCAAACACAGGTGCCCTCTGACAAACATTTTTAATGAACATATTTTAAAATATAATTAAATATTAACATACACACCTTAGAAAGAAAAGATGTTAATGTAAACATGGTAAAATGTTAACATTTGGGAAATCTAGGCGAGAAGTATACAAGAGTACTTTGTACTAATTTGGTAACTTTTTTTAGAGGTTTTTGCTATAGGGTGCGTGCGCTCACCAGAAGACAGAGAGAGACAGAAAGCGAGAAATCCCTTTTCCATTCTCCTCTCGGGATCTTAGGCACACACGCACACATGCCTGGTGTGAGTTTAAGACACCAGGTCCAGGACTCGAACCATGGTCAACTACATGTGAGTCCAGCATCATAGCCATTACACCAACTGCTGGTCTTGCAAATTAAAAAATATAATAATAATGATAAATAAATAATTCTTGGGACCAGCATATGGAGTAATTAGACTCCCATAAAGTTGACTACGGTTCAAGTCCTAGACTTGGTGGCTTAATTCACGCATTAACATATGAGTGAGTGGCTTATGAGTGCATGTGTGCCCAAGATCCCGAGAGGAGAATGGAGAAGAGATTGTGGCATGGCCATTCCCGTCTCTCTGTCCGTCTGTTTTTCCAGTGAGCACACGTGCCGTATAGCAAAAATCTATGAAACAAACAAAATCAAATAAATGATTATTAAAAAGAAAGAGTTAGAGGGGCCGACAGGTGGTGTGGTGGTTAAGGGTATTGGATTCCCACATTGCTGACTGTGGTTCAAGTCCTGGACCTGGCGGCTTGCTTTCTCACTTTCCCTCTCTCTCTCTGACCCTCTCTGGTCAAATTAAAATAAATAAATAAAGTGAAATAAAATAATTCTTCAAAAAAATTTAGTTTAATGGGTCTGGGATTTCAGTTGGGATAAAAAGGTTCTATAGATAGTAGTGATGGGTAATGGTTTCACAACAATGTGAATGTACCTAATGCCATGAAAGTGTGCACTTAAAAATGGTTAACATCCATGTAGCTGAAAGCGGTTCGAGTCCAGGACCCAGCGGCTTAAAACTCACACCAGAACATGTATGTCCAAAATCCTGAGAGGAGAATGGAGAAGGGATTGTCACATGGCCATCTCCCCTGGGGGAGATTTCTCACTTTCTGTCTCTCTACCTCTGTATAGCAAAAATCTCTCTCTCTCTCTAAAAAAAAAAATTAAAAAATTAAAAAATAAAAATAAAAATAAAAAAGGTTATGTATATTTTATCACAATAAAAATAAAAAGGGAAAAAGTCTTTTTTCAAAAAAGGAGCCTTACTTTGGCCTATCAAGGCTTGATATAACTGGTCCCCTGCTAGCACCTTTTTTATTTTTTTTGAACCAGAGGGTACATGCACTTGCTGAAGAGAAAGAGGAAGAGCGAGCAAGCACCCCCGCGGGGCATGGCTACACTGCAGTCCTTTCTCCACTTCACCATCCTTTTTTTTTTTTAACTCTTTTCTTTTTTTTGAGAGATTTTTGCTATAGGGTGCATGTGCTCGCCAGACAGAGACAGACAGAGACAGAAAGCGAGACATCACCCCCCCAGGGGGGATGGTCACGCTGCAATCCCTTCTCCTCCATTCTCCTCTGGGGATCTTGGGCACGCACGCACACGCGCCCGGCGTGAGTTTTAAGCCACCGGGTCCGGGACGCGAACTGTGGTCGACTACGTGGGAGTCCAGCGACATAGCCATTACGCTAACTGCTGGTTCCCAACCATCCATTTCAGGGCTTGAGCTGCGCAGACGCATGCAGTGAGGGATCCAGCAACCTGAAGCACCACCAGCTGACCGCCTGCTACCACTCTCGCCTCCTCTCAGCTCCCCCAGCTCTTTGTACTCAGGCCACACAGCCTGCTTTTCCTGACCTGCCTCTGGGCCTTCCTACTCTCCCTCCCTGGGTCGTCCTTCCCCCACAACGCTGTGCAACTCCAGCCCTCACTGCCTTCAGTCTCCTCCAGGACTTCCCTGGCCACCATTTAAACAAGTCCCTCAGGCCAGCAGATAGCCCAGCGGTTTAGGTGTTGGATCCCACATGGTCAGCTCCATGGTTCAAGTCCTGGACCCGGTGGTAGGAAAAACATGCCAGGCACACGGGCTTGCATGCCAAAAATCCCGAGGAGAAAGAAGGGATTGCATCAAGGCCACCCGCCAGGAGGTGATTTCTCACCTTTATCCCTCTCTGTCCCTATCTCCAACAAGCACACCTGTCCTATAGCAAAAAACGAAAAGCACATCGAACCTATAAATATGTACAATTATGTACATATTTGTCAATTACAAATTTAGGGCCAGGACAGGCAGATGGCATAATGGTTATGTCTCTGGACTTCCACATAGTTGTCCGTGGTTCGAGACCCAGACTGGCAGCTTAAAACTCATGCTTTGGCAGAACCAGCAGATGGTGTAATGGTTACATTGCTCGACTCCCACATGGCCGACTGCAGTTCCAGTCCCAAACTCAGGCTTGAAATTCATGCTGGACACATGTGCGTGTGTGCCCACGGTCCTGAGAGGAGGATGGAGGAGGACTACGGTGTGGCCATCCTCCCTGGGGGGGATTTCTCACTTCCTGTCTGTCTTTTTCTGTCTCTCCAGAGAGCGCACAAACCCTATAGCAAAAATCTCTTAAAAAAAACAAAACCTCACACCAGGTATGTGTGCATGTGTGCCCACGTGCCCAAAATCCCAAGAGGAGAATGGAAGAGAAGGGACTGAGGCATGGCCATCCCCTCTTTCTATTCTTTTGTCTCTGTCTCTCCAGCAAGCACACATACTCTACTGCAAAAATCTCTTAAAAAGTAAATAGGAACCAGCAGATAGCATAATGGTTACGTCACTGAACTCCCACATAGTTGACCGTGGTCCAAGACCCAGACTCAGTGGCTTAGAACTCATGCCAGGTGGAGACCAGCAGATAGCGAAATGGCTACGTCACTGGACTCCTATGTAGTCAACCATGGCTTGAGTCACAGACCCGGTGGCTTAAACTCACACCAGAAGATGTGTGTGCATCCATGCCCAAGATCCTGAGAGGAGAATGGAGGAGAAGGGATTGCAGCGTGGCCAACCACCCGGGGCGGGGGGCGATTTCTTGCTTTCTGTCTGTCTTTCTGGTGAGCGCATGCACCCTATAGCAAAAACCTCTCCAAAAAAAGAAAAAGACTCATGCTAAGTGCATGTGCATGCGTACCCAAAATCTCAAGAGAGAAGGCCTGGCCATCCCCCATGTGGGTGATTTCTCGCTTTCTGTCTCTCTGTCTCTCTCTGGCAAGTGCATGTGCCCTGAAGCAAAAATCTCTAAAAAAAAAATAAAGAAATAGTAAAAAACAAAATTAGAGCCAGCATGGTGCTTTAAGGTACTGGATCCCACATCTGATTCCACTTGTGTCCTGGACCTGGCAGCTTGAAAAACACTGGGCGCATGTGCAAACACGCCCCAAATCCCAAGGGTATAATGGAAAGGGCTGTGGCATGGCTGACCGTCCTGGGAGGTGATCTTTCACTTTCCCTGTCTCTCTCCAGTACACTTCCCCTATGGCTAAGTCCCACCCCTACCAAATAACAATGCTTAAACAAAAATAAATAAATAATAAAGATTACAGGGACCAGCAGATGCACAATGCTTACATTGCTGGACTCCCACATAAGCCACCACGGTTCAGGTCCCAGACCCGGCGGCTTAAAACTCACACCAGGCGCATATGTGTGTGTACCTAAAATCCCAGGAAAATGGAGGAGAAGGGATTGTGGCGTGGCCATCTCCCCAGGGGGTGTTTTCTTGCTTTCTGTCTCTGTGTCTCCAGTGAGTGCACGTACCCTATAGCAAAATTCTCCCTTTAAAAGGAAATTACGAATGGCCAGCAGAGTTAAGGGGCCGGATCCCACAGGGCTGTCAGCACACTCAAGTCGCAGACCCGGGGGCTTGCGTGCCCGGCGCATGGGCCTATGTACCCAAAATCCTGAGGAGAATGGAGGAGAAAGGGTTGCAGCGTCGCCATCCCCCCGGGGAGGGGTGATTTCTCACTTTCTGCCTCTCTTTCCACCGAGTGCACGTGCCCTAGAACTAAAAAACAAACAAAACTGTAATAGGCCTCGGTCATCCGCTAATAGCTTTCCCTGTCACCACCTTATATACGTATTTGTTATCTGTCTCAATTAGAATGTAAGCTGACAGGGACCGGCAGTTAGCGTAATGGCTATGTCGCTGGACTCCCATGTAGTCAACCGCGGTTCGAGTCCCAGACCCGGTGGCTTAAACTCACACCAGGCGTGTGTATGTGCGTGCCCAAGATCCTGAGAAGAGAATGGAGAAGGGATTGCAGCATGACCATGCCCCTGAGGGGGGTGATTTCTTACTTTCTGTCTGTCTCTCTCTCTCTGTCCCTCACTGGTCAATTAAAATGAGTAAATAAATAAAGTTAAATAAAATAATGCTTATAATTTTTTTTTTTGGTAGAGATTTTCACTATAGGGTGCGTGCGCTCACCAGACAGACAGAGAAAGACATAGAGACAGAAAGCGAGAAATCACCCCCCAGGGGGGATGGTCACGCCGCAATCCCTTCTCCTCCATTCTCCTCTCGGGATCTTGGGCATGCACG